CCCCCCCCGAAACACTCTCATGACCCTGACGTTGGTTGCATTCTCGTGCGGAGCAGGAAAGGTCGGAGAGGTCCGCCTACAGGCGAGGACTGCATCTCTGGGGAATCATTTTACGCTGGTTTAGGTGAGCAGAACTCCACTGACGGTTAGCATAGCATGTGTTTTCGTCGTAGTAACACGGAGATAGCAGATGCAAGCCCGAGCTTGACAAACTTTGCGATGACAGATTTGGAAGCGGGCAATTGGATAGCAAATGTCGGAACGAAGATGGTCTCTGTTCATCTGTAGGAGAAGGTTTCGGCGTTAATTATAATGGATTGCTTGCGAGGATCCTCATCTATTAGGGTAGTTTTTACCTCCAATTTCATTTGTATGTCTTGAATCTAGTGTTTAATGCCCCGTCTTGCTTTTGTGAACGCTGCCCACGTCAGTATTTGGCCTGATAGTATAGAGGAGCTGCATTGCATCACAGCTTTGGCACATGCCAGGCTCGCCTATTCGCTTATCCCAAGCCAAGGCTGTGGACGACACAGATTGGGAAGAGAGTGCATATGCCGTTGACTGAAGCGACGATCGAGTCGTACTTGCATGTCTCAAAATGTCGCGAGGGCATGTGTAAGTGCAACGACAAACAACGACATGCGCTGACATGATCAGAATCACTACGCAGGCTTCTGGACGATTCTTCAACGAAGCTGAGCACATCTCTATCCTTGAGCTGCAGAGATAAAAGGTTGGGCGCTTCTTCAGCAGTAGAGCTTCAGGAAAACCACCCCTTCGTCAGCCATTTACATCGCAACACAGCTCTTCGGACCAATCTTTCCATTCTCTACCCTCCGCCTGCAAGGATGCTGCTCTTCCAGGCCACCACCGCTCTGCTCGCCGCCAACCTCCCCATCACTGTCCACGCCCTCGTCCCGCGAGGGGCCATCTGCACCGAGGGCTCCCAGCTCATCTGCTACGACGACGACGACGATGAGGCGTCATCATGATCCTCGCAGAGCGGCCTCCTCCTCGATCGAGCCCACGTCCAGTACGTCGCCGACTACCTGCGGTGGCTCGGCAACTCCTCCGACGACGATGAGGGGGCGCGATTCTGGACGATGCCGGCCGAGACCGCCGGCTGCGCGGGAGTGGACGCTGCCGGTGCCGGACGCCGGGCCGGTGCTGCCGCTGGCCAAGCACGTCAAGCCGTGGCTCGACTCGTCGGTGCTGTTCGCGGGACCTGGCGGCGGCGATTGACGGCGAGGGCGGGCTGTTGAGGGGTTGCGAGGGCGGTGGTGCCGGGGGGCTAGGTGGGCGCGAAGGCGGACGCGGAGAATCCGCTGTACAAGACGGAGCAGCATAGGAAGAGCGTCGCGAAGCCGGAAGGTATACTGGTGAAGCTGGTGAGGGCGCCGCCGCCAAAGCATTTGGGGGGGGTTAGGGGCTGGAAAGCATGTCTGATACTTGCGGGGTCGTTGGGATTTACGGAGGAAGCGGGTTTGTCGTGGTAGGATGGGGGGGGGGGGGGGGTCCGGACGGGCTGGTGGTGCTTGTGAGGAGCAGTTTCCAGTGGCCTGCGCCGGCTCCAGACCTGGCTTTGCAAGTTTGGGTATGAAGCGAGGTTTACAAGGACAGGGATGAGAATAATAATACTTGGCCAGAAACCGAGAGTCGTCGGTGATGCATAGTAGCATCCTCTTGATTGATAGTTATTTGTCTCGACTACAAGTCGGTCGGTCGTCTTGTTTGTCAACGGTGGAACAGGTGTCAGCATCCGCTCAGCTCAGCTCGGCGCAAAGCAGCTTGGTGAAACATGTTTGGATTCAATACATGACAGTCAAGCTGATGCATCGCGTTCTCGAGCGTGGGCCTGATTCTGGGGGCAGGTTATGGTGTGCACCATGATGACAGCCGGCCGTATAGCTCCTTCTCGCTGTCGGAGGCGGACCCAATCACGATGACGACCATGTCAGCGCAGCATGGACCATGTATCATCAGTCAGTAAGACATCGCCAGCGATGTCGCTTAATAACTGGCTGCACTTCACGGCGTAGGAACGAGGCATAGCGATTACTGCACTCCTTATAAGTCCATAGCTGCAATGGCTGTCTATGTTTAGTCCCTATGTCGCGGTCTATAGGGTAGGCCGCTGGACTAGTGGGGACGAATGCAACTTTTTGCCATTTGCCGAGCGGGCTTGGCGGCTGAGACTTGATAGGATAAGGAAAAAGGAAATAGGAAACAGGAAAAGGATGCCGAGACGGACATGAGAGAACTCGTTACACTGGGCAGATTCTGGCAGGAACACGGCAGACAGTTGACAGGCTGCAGGGTCAGGCTCGGGCGCGGTGACAGAGGGAATATCCGAGGTCCATCTGCCTGCCTCCCTACTCACCAAGTTACTGTAGTTACTACAGCTATGTGTATGTACTAGATCCGTATGCTCACCGTAACTACTGGTACCGGGTAGGGCTACGTGTCAGTCGTGCCATGAGGGCGGCCAGAGCCTGAATCAGGCCAGCGAGCGACCCAGACTCTCGGGACGCATGTGCTAGCTTCCGCGGGCTCCATATTTTGCTGCTTTCTCCCAGGTGCTTCTTCTCCTTTCCTCTTGCATTTTTCTTTGCATTTTTCATTCTCATAATTTTTCTTGCTGTCCTATGAGAGGGGAGGGGGGCGATGGTGCGAGTCCCCAGCGCACGAGCTGGGCGGGCGATTTTGTCGGCCTGGCCCTGTGCCCTCGGCAACTAACTGCTGTTGGTACCGCGTTGTTTGTTGTGCTGTGATTAGGACTTTATTAGATGCTGGCTCTGGTTTTGGTCTCGCATCTCGTGACGACAGTTTTTAGCTTCTCAACAAAAAATGCTGGAAGGTTGTTCTGAAATGGCATCACGAGACCTCCCTCTTTCCGGTGTCGGCGTAAGGAGGGTCTTTGATTTATTATAGCAAGCTAGGAATGGCGCATCACGGGCCAGGCTTTGAAAAATAGGAAAATGACCGTGCTTTCTTTAATTTTCAAGGGTTAAATAAAAAAAATATCAGTAAACTCGGGTAATATGGAAGCGGTGGTGCGCTGTAGGTAGTTACCCAAGGCCCTTGTGACAGTTGGCACAGTTAGACCTGCCTGGGTATTAACTACTGGCGCAGATTCAAGAAGCAACACACGGCCAGCTAAGGATAGAGCAGTTATTGCTTACCACATAAATTGAAGCCCAAGACGGCAACGACGGACGGATGGGCGAGGCGAGGCGACCGCCGAAGGCCACTAGAAGGATCAATATGTGGGTAGCGTCTGGGGTACTATGTATCACTGTCGGTACGGATACGGGCGCTGAAAAGGGACAAGCTGCCGGCAAGTCGACGACCCAGAATTCAGGTTCCATTGCTATAAGTATTAATGTGTACATAGGTATAGGATACTTGGCGTAGAATAGTGCTAGCTGGGCGAGGCAGGTAGTCGAGACTTTGTTCTCATTTCAATCAACACTGTGTGCAGGTAACAAAGGTGACAGGTAGCCCAACAGTAAGTCCTTCTGTCTGTTTCCAGGACGGCTCAACGCACCCAACCTTTTCCCCGTGTTACTTGGTTTTTGGTGTTTCCGCGGCGGCCGCACGCTCTCAGTCACGTCGTAGACCAGGCTTATGTGTTGCAACTTCGTATGTGCGTTGCGTTGTGTCATCAATGCCGTCTCTGTGTGGCTCGCGCTCTGCTTTGGGTGGCTCGTTGCCAGCAAGTTGAGTGGCTGACCAGGATTAAAACGGGTGGACGCAGGTTCTGGAACAACAAAGACGTGCACGCTTGTGAGTGGCTCTTTTTTCACTCTTTTTATGCGCGGGTTTAGGTTTCCGTTTTGATCATCTTCCATTTACGTCTTTGTGATTCGCTGCCCGCCGGTTTAGGCTGCCTGTGTGCCTTGTTCAGGCACGCGCCTGCAGCATTTATGACAGAAATCGTAGACAGTGTGCCTAATTCTTTTTTATTTTTAATTTAGAAAAAAGAAACCACAATAAAACATCAAGATCCGTTCCGGACATTGTATGCGAAACGCCAGATCATAGTCTGGTTGCGGCCCGAAGGGGTGGGTGGTGGAGGGAGACAGTGGCGATTCCTGTCCTGTGATATTACTTCGCCCTGGAAAATTAGTAAAAAAAAAAAAAAATACTGCAAGGGAGCGAGTCGTGAGACGTAGGACTTGCGCAGGCAGTTGATGCCGAGACTTTTCTTCTTCCCCTCGACTCTCTTTCTGCGACAACAGTGACGACTCGCAATGCTGGTCTCGGCCCTGGTTAGCCCTGAGCAATCCTCACGGGCGTGGCCCCGATGTACACTTGTGCGCATGTGCCAGGGCATCTGGTACCTTGGCTGGCGAGACAAGGTGGCGTCTCAACCCTTGTATGGTGCCAGGCACATTGCCACAAGCAGGCGACAGGCGACTGCGGCGCAGCGGTGGCAGTCATATGTACATACATACATACTTCGTACCTCGTAGTTACGGATTACCGGGTGGTGGAATACTTTTACTAATACAACACGGGTTCGACAATCATGCATAATAGCAAAAACAAACACCTCGACTGTTGCTGTTTTGACTGACATCCCGCAACACAACACAACACAGACTGCATGCATGCACGCACAGCAATTTAGCGACAACCTGGCTGTCACCAGTGCAAGCCACTAAAAGCCCTGTCTGTAATCCTGGGGGCCCGCGTGCTGACCTCACCACTACGACACTATTTTCCTGCCTTTTTTGGCCAAGTATTTTTTCTTGTTATTATTATTTCCTTGTATCCATCCGTACCTTTCTTTTGCTCCGTCTTCCTTGTTGCTTTTCCTGGTTGGCAGGTACCATTTCTGCAGGTCCGTCCGTCCGTCCGTCCGTCGGCTTCCCGCGCGCACTCTAATTCGTAGTTGTTGATTAATTTGGTATTTTTTTTTTCCTACTCCGTGCCATCCGATTCAAGGAAAGCTACCATTCACATTCACATCCACCCACCCTAGGTACCTATGTATGTACCTCCACGTCTTGTACTATTACGGGTACATTCTGGTACAAATCTTGGCCCGCACCGCGCTGCGCTGCGCTGCACAACCGACACCTCCATCATCACCAGCGACTGACTGGCTGCACCCACACCACACACTCTGCTGCACCTGCTGCTGTCCGTCCTGCATCCTCCCACAACAACAAATCCATCCAAGCCATCCCAAGGCTAAAATACCGCTCAACTCAGCCGAACTTGTTCATCTTCCCTCCACTCATCTCTGCCTCTCCATCTTCTCAAACAGTTGCGTTCCGACCGACTCTCTCGTGCTCGCATCCTTGCTCGAGACAGCTCACGCCTGCGTGCGTCACCTCGACCTGCCAAATCCATCAACTTGCTGCACGCAACAACACACCACGCACCACACAACGTACAAACGTATCGCCTCCCTCCCGAGTCGTCTGCACCTCTTTCGTCATCACCACCACCAACCCCGGCCGCATCCCCGACCCTGCGCCAACAACACATCCATCTGGTCTCCAGGTTGCCAGGCGCCATCCCGTTGCCACGCTTCCTCCGTTGGGCACCGAAAAACCTCCTCTGCCGCTCTCGTCGCTCGCTCTCGTCGTCGCTCGCTCTCGTCGCCGCCCGCTCGCCCGCCTGCCTTTCCGCTTGACGCAAGCCCGCCCACGATGAGCCTTGCTGCATACGTCTCCACGATCATCCATTGAGCCTCGTCATCCGCCCCTGCTGCCCCCGTGCCCCGTTGGCATGCATCAACCACAACCAATCTCGACACTATAACAGCAACTTGTACCGGCCATGGACAATCCATCTCCCCCCCCCGACGGCCCTCTGCAGCCTACCGCCACCCACGCGCCATCCACTGCCGCCCAACCTGCTAATAACCCCCCCTCTCGCATTGCCCTTCCCTCCACTTCGGCCGCCGTTGTCACCGCACCGGTATCCGCCTCAAGGGGCATCCCCCAGCCTGCGCCCGCGTCCAAGTCCTCATCAGCAGCCAGCTCCAACGGAACGACACCCAATCCTTCCCGTGACGGCTCTCCCGGTCGTCTCATTCGAAAGGCCACTTCCTCCAGTCGACTCTCTGGTAACCGCTCTCGCAAAAATAGCCAGCACGACCTCAGCCCAACTCGCACCTCCAGATCGCAACTACCGACACACACAGCCGCCGCGCGCAGTTTATCAACCTCTGCTACCCCCTCGCTGCCCCCTACCACTAAGGAACCCCAACAGGCCTCAACACCGCAGAAGAACGGCGCTGCAGCCCTCGATTCTAGGGAAGGTCCTCGATGGCCAGTTTCCCCTCGATTGCGATCTCCAGCCCCGAGCTTAAACAGGTCCGATCCTGCATCACCCAAACCTGAGCCAGATCTTCCCGCCATCAACGTCCAGCAAGCCAGCCCCGCCGTCAAACCCGTAGAGCCCCAGCCTACTATCGACAGCGACATTGAAGACCCTCAGTCTACGTCCGGCGCCCACACGCCTGTTCGCTCCGGGTTGGAAACCGTTCAGGAAGTTGCCACCCCCGTTGCCGCCCGTGGCATCCTGGACCATGTCAAGGAAAAGCTTGCCGCTGCTGACCCCCAATCTGATGGCGCCCTAAGCGATGGTGGCCGTACCATCAGAGCCCGCTCCAACCACATCCCGGACAATACCGTTGACGGTACCAACAGAGCAGACACAAGAAGAACAACCTCTGTGCCTCCGCCCCCCGTCGCTCGCCAGTCTAGTTCACTGTCGATGAAGCAGGGCAAAACCAAGACCGAAGGTTCCACCCAGAACATGACGGTCGAGACCGAGACGGTCGCCAGTATTCCCCAAGTCGCCCTCAACACGAGCTCCAAAGCTGATGGGGCAAATGGCACTCTCAAGACCAAGCAGAGCACCGAAACCATCAAGCCGAAAAAGGACAAGAAGAAGCCCTTACGAAAGCAACCCAACGTCCACACGGGAACCTCAGCCTCCAAGGCCGATAATTTTGAGGCCAAGATTGCCAGCGCCGTTGACGAAGCCAACACTTCTGACTCGGAAGAGACCTTCGTCTACGACTCGAACCCCCCGGACGGCGGCGATCGTACTGTTCGTCGATTTCACTCCCGCACGCCCAGCGCCACCTCCATGGCTAGCCAACCCCCCGACCGCCAAAACGTTCGCTCCATCTACGGTGTCATGGAGGCTGCTGTTCATCACGGCCCCGTTCCCAAGAAGAGCATGAAATTTGTCAACACGTTTAACGGCTCTGGGACAGAAAGCTTGACTCCTGGGGAAGAAGACGGTAAGGCGACCGGCCGCAGCGCTGGTGGCTCCGGCCGTGGAACCGCCAGACATCATCATCATATTGGCCGGTGGGGTCGCCAACCCAACAACAGTCACCTGTCCATCTTCGACAATGATTCGCCCTTTGCCAATACGGCAAGATCGAAGCCGTCCAATACACCACCTCGAAACTCGCCAGGCCCAACAAGCCCTCGCAACCACCATTCGCCCCGCGGCCAGCTCAGCTCCAAGCGCTCTGCCCTTCAAATGTCGTCCATCTACGACATGGACGAGAATACCGGCGCTGATGATGAGCGAACGCCCCTTATTGGAACAGCTCGCTACAGATCCGGTCGCAATAGACGAGGCCCTCACAGTCTCCGCCAGGCCGAGTCCCAGACTTATACCCGACGGTCCTCTTACTTGAACCGATTCGCGGCATGCCTCGTCCTCACCATGATGTTTCTCCTGGTAATTACTGGTGCCATTGGATTCATGTTTGCCACGTCTCAGCCCATGGCCGACATTGAGATTGTCTCGATTCAGAATGTCGTCACGAGCGAGCAAGTTCTCATATTTGATCTTTCTGTCAAGGCTCACAACCCGAATATTGTTTTGGTAACAGTCGATCAAACTGATCTGGAAATATTCGCCAAATCGGAGCACGCCGGAACAGATTCGGATTGGTGGAAAAAGCCTGGACCGGGAGATCAAATCCAGACCGATGCCAACCTTGAAAAGGATAAGAAGTCCAAGGACAAGGATGGCAAGGATGATGACGAAGATGCAGATAAGCGTCCCAACATTCTCTTGGGCCGCATCACTGAGTTTGACAGCCCCCTCATGTTTGAGGGCTCCCTTTTCCATCGGGGTAGCTCCACCTCGACTGGAGAGATGAAGCTCCAAGCGCCTGGGAACAGTACGGCGGGAGGTGTCAAGAGATGGGATCTCATTTATCAGAATGAGTTTGACCTCATCATCAAGGGTGTTTTGAAGTACACTCTGCCTCTCAGCGCCCGCGTCCGCAGCGCGACCGTCTCAGGACGTACCACAGTCAAACCCAACTCGGCCAATGATCCCCCAAGTCACCCCCCCAACTCGACCGTACCAGTCGCCCCAAAAAAATTAACCGCCCGTCTTAAGACAACGTGGACGGGCTGAACATATGTTTTCCTTTGTTATCCATCTGATTTGCGTCTTTTTTAATGAGCGTATAGTATCATGGGCAATATATTTGGCGTTGGATTGCACACAGTTCCAACAAGAGACAGGAACTCAATCACGAAAAGAAGACACGAGGATACCACCCCTGATTTAAAGCTAGACGGCGAACCGAAAAGCTTCGGCGAGGCCTGTACTAGCAGCCGACAGCACTGTTCTTAGCCATACCTTGTCTTGACTTTACACTGCAGCTGATACACGGAGAAGGCGGACTTTTTCTTCTCTTGAGACCTGAAAAGAAAAGCGAATATCTTTTTCTTTGCTTTATGATAGACGGGTGGAATTGCACTTATACCCCCTTTTATGTAATTGTAACGGCTTTACGACATACACAAACAAAACACAGAGACGCACATACCTACATACTAAGAGAACTGATATGGTGGGAAGTACAGATGATGATTTATGTGACAGGACCAATCAACACAACATTGACAGCCCGTGTCAAGTGATGCTGCTCTTTGTAAGCCATGTCAAGCTACATGTCATGGTGTACCTTTAAGGAAAATGTACAATGGCCCCATTCGGACCAGGAGACTCTGCGCCGGAGTTACTTGCTCGGCAACGGGCGGCGGTCGATGAACTTGTCCTGCGCCGCCTTTTTCCGGGCAGCCTTTTCCTGGGCGGCCTTTTTCCGGGCGGCCTTTTCCTGTGCAGCCTTTTCCTGGGCCTCCCTCTCCAGCTCCTCGTCCGGTCCGGGCCCCTCAAACGTGCCCTCGACGTAGTTGATGCGCACGTCGACGTACACCTCCGCCATGCGCTCCACCTGCATCGGCGTGAACTCGTACAGGCATGCGTCGTACGAGTAGTCCATGTAGTTGTGGATGGGGTCCGGGCCGGGCATCGACCAGGTGTTCTCGGCCTCGATGCTTCCCGTGCACGTGTCCCGGCCCTGCCTCGCGGCGTTAGCAGAAGAAACAGTATAGGCTGAAGAGAAGAGTGTCCCCGGGTGGGGGAGGGGAGGGGGTGCTCACAATCTCGCAACCGGTCGCCGAGGTGCCCTCGGCGGGGGTGTCGTACATGTAGTCGCCGGGCCCGCGACAGCCGGCCAGCGGGTCCTCGTCGTCCGCATCATCGGGGGCCTCGAAGGTGTGAAGCAGGCTGAGCCAGTGCCCGACCTCGTGGACGAGCGTCATGCCGCGGTTGAACGGCGGCTTGTCCACGCCGGGCAGCGTAGCGGAGTCGACGACGACGCCGTCCCTAGCAAAGGCGGCCTTGCTGGCTCTTCCTGGGAAGGTGCTGATGCGGGAATTGGTTAATAGACATGCAATGCAGAATGGAGTTCATGAATGTGCATGCAGCAAGAGGGGCACTCACGCGTAGCCGACAATGCTTCCAGCTTCGGCGTCAGGGGCGATGGGCGTGACGTAGACGTTGAGCGTGGCGTAGTCGCCCCGGCGCAGCGCCGTCTTCATGGCCTTTTCGGCGTCGCCGAGGATTTCGAGGTCGCGCCACTGGGGAGCGGGCACGAAGGCGGTGTCGTTGAGGACGAAGGAGAAGCCGGCTGGTGCGTAGGCGGTGTTGAGGGCAGCGAGCTGTTGAACAAGCAGTGTGGTTAGCTTGAAAGGAGGAGGAGGAGAAGGAGGAGAAGGAGGAGGAGGAGAAGGAGGAGGAGGAGAAGGAGGGGGATAGTGGTTATGGAAGGGGAAACTGTTCATAGAAAACGTACCTGGTCTTCGACGGCCTTGGGCGACACGACGGTTTGCATACGAGGGTACGTCAAGTTACCGACGGTCACCGTTCCGTTGCAGAACCCGGGCGTCGTCTGATTGCCGCAGGTGATGACGTGGAAGAAGGTCGGGATCTGGAACGGCTCGCCGGCAGGCCGGCGGTATTGGTCCCGGCGCCTGGTGCCGTTGTTGGCGGCGAGGGAGGCGTGCAGGGCCTTGATGTCGGCGTTAGGCTTGGTGCCGCACTGATGGGCGGATGCCAGGGCGAAGAGCCCGCCGAGGAGAGCAAATGAGAGTTTCATTTTCCAAAAGAAGAGGAGAAAGAGGTAGAAATGGGCGATGGGAATGTACACTTTGGATAGAGAGCATGGAATGGTTCGCTCTTTCAAGGGCAAGAGCCCGTCCTTTATAGACTTGGGCATCACAAAAGCTCAACCCAAGCAAGGCTTACAGCGAAGAAAGGCTTACAGCCAGGCAAAGCCTATACCTCTCGGTATCAATTCCATCTCCCTATGACGCGGGCTTCACGTGCACCTTCATTTCCGTTATAGCCAAGCAAAGCTTAACCTCTCGGGGTCAGTTCCATATCCTCACGACGCAGGATTCATGCCCATCTTCATTTCCGTTATTCCGAAATTCATAGCAGTGTATCAGTTATACCAAAGGAAAGCGACTTCGCCGCAAGTTGGCCCATATCCAGCAAGTGGTCCATCTCCGAAAAGAGCCTTTACGATGGGAAATGGGGGCGAAGCGGATGAAGTAGGCCCACACGGTCCCGGCAGGGCTGACTCTTCCGGGCATAACTTGTGAAGAGGGAGGCCGTTTTTTTTCTTGGGTGCCATCAAAGGCCGAGGCGGTGTCGAGCCGCGCCGGGCTGACAAGCCAATTGCCGAGGAGGTCTTGGTTGAAGAAGGAGAAATGGAGCAAAGAAGGCTGGGCGCTCATACTTGTTACAACCAACAAGAGCACAGCCACGGCGGCAAGGTGAGTCGACGGGCAGGGACAGGGGAGATGGCGTAGCGTCGTTTAAGCCGGCGTTTATAAAACTAGAAGGTTAAGAACAAGCATGATCAACCCACATCTTCGAGAAGGCGGTAAACTCGCGGCTGCTGGTCTAGTTCGCCGAAAGGACGGCGTCTAGATTGCATAGGGGCTGGGGAAGACGAAAAAAAAAAATATGGGAATGGGTAATTGAGTGTTTCAAAAACGGATAGTGCTAATGAACTCCCAAATCACACTCTTGTTATCGGCCCATTCTGAATAATAAGTCTGGGGCCGGTCGTGGGGACAAGGAGATCGCCGATTGAAGGAAGAGTGAGTTGGCGAGGCTGTTTTGTCAACCCTCACAATCTTTAGAGGAAAAACGAAATCAAGGGGAGTTTCAAATTTCCGAGAACGCACGGCAACGCCTTGCTATAGCTTGCCGTGGGAGATGAAGCTGGATCGTGGTTGGAACTGGTAGTGCTCAAGGGTTAAAAAAACGAGTAACGGCATTTCTTTGCTAGGCATACCATCTCCGCTCTCGGACCGCAATAGTGGAAGCATTCCTCATCATGGAATGCACACAAACGGTTCCCTGAAGCAATCTTCCCAGGCAGTCTTTCCCTCGGCCCAAATCTGCTCCATCTTCCTCGCGCATCGCGAGAACTCTACAAACATATTCCGACTACGAGCGCCGGTCTCGAAGCAGCACGCGACAAATACTCGCTCCTGAGCATCCCCGTCGGCCGCGGCGACGCCGGCCACGATCAAGGGCCACAGCAGGGTGCAGTGGTTGTTGATCTTCTCCCATATCGCGCCTAGCAGCGCAAAGAGCTTCTTCCGAAGCGTCCGGAGCGGAAATTTCACGGACCGAGCGGCTGGAAGGGCCAGGGCGCCGTACAAGTGCGCGGCCACCCGGAATATGAGAACAGTCGCAGCGACGAGCGGGTAGTCGCCGAGGCCGTGCTCTCGGGCCCAGGCCTCCGGGTCGAGGGCGCTGAGCTTGGTCAGGTTGGCGTGCGCCGCGTCGCAGATTACAGATTCTGCGACGGAGTCAGAGGTCGCCGCCTGAATGCGTAGCTGCGTGAAGCCCGCAATGGCGATGAAGATGTCTGCTGGTATCGGCGGCTGGATGATGATGCCGCTCTGAATGATGGTCGTCATCTGCCCATCCGTATAGACGACCAACCCGCGAACCTGCTTACTGATAGGACTTGTAGTGTTGCACATGATGGAAGCTCTAATCATGCCATCAATATTGTTAGCGAATGAGCATGTGATTGTATTAAAGAGTCCATAGTCGCAGAGAAGATTAGCGGTGTTGGGAGAGGGACTTGCAGTAGCATGTGCTTGAGGTCCTTCATCACGTAGGCCGATAAAGAAGGCGGAAATCCGACCACCGCGTCGAGTCCACCGAGCTTGTCCACGTATGCAAAGCCGCCGTTGAGGTGCGCCTGCCACAACGGCTCGTCGGCCTTGATGTCCATGCAGAAGAGGGCGAATATGCAGTACAGGGCACGATACTTGCCGCCGTGGCGCCCGCGATCCTGGATGCTCTCGTTGGTCACGCCGAGGAGCTCGCGGTAGTAGTGAAAGTACTTTGCCCAGGCCGGGGCCAGCGCCGGGTCCCCTCCGGGACGCGGCATCCGGCCACGGCTCGCGCACGACCACTGGATCTGCTGCGAGATCATGCTGCAAATGAAGGACACGGGCAGGTGACTCCAGGTGTCGAAGGTCCGGAGTCGGGGCTGGGGGAGGTGGGCGGACTGCGCCGGGAGGAAGTGCGTGACGTCTTGGTTCGGGTTGCGTTGGCGTTAGCACTTGGAGTTGAGAGGGTAGGGTGGGCGGTCTGATGAGTCTGCGTCTGACGAAAGATTGATGCAAACACATCAACGCAGGCGTACAGAGATTAAGGATGAGGAGGGGGGCAGTGGGTGGTCCATACAGAATCGGATCGCCTCCATATGATCCCAGTTTGGCGGTACGGTCTCAAGGCAGATGCGTTGCCGCCGGGCGCGGGCATCATAGACGGCGGTGGAACTTGTGATGCTGCTGGTGGGTATGACGATGCCGTAGCCGGCGCACGGCTTACAGAGGCGGACGCATCTACCACAGACGGGCTTGGCCTCGTCGCACCTGACGCGACCAGCTCTAGAAGGCAGTGCCGAGTCCGACCCGCGTTAGTGGCCTTCCTTATGCTAGGATGCAGGAAGAAGCTTTTTTGCAGCTTACCGGCAGGTGAAGCAGCCAGATCTAGATCGGGGGGCCCATCTCTTTTGTCGGGAAGGGCCATCAGCTGCTGCTGAGGAGGGTGCGGTGACGGCAAAGCCTGAGCCTGAGATGCGCGGTGTAGGCATTTTGGGCTGCCATCTAGGAAATATTTATGGTTATGGATGATGCCAAATCCCTGGTCTTGAAGGTGTTGGCCGTTTGCCAGGAATAAACTGTTGTGGCTGTTTGAGCTGACGTCAAGGGTGGAGTGGTCAAGTTGGAGTTGCTTACAGGCCAAGGTCAACTCGGCTCTCAGTCAGCAGGGCTTCAACTATGATAGTTTTTTCTCCGAGTTAGAAGTCTCATGGATTTCCATTTCAACGTTATTTGATTTTCCAATTTTTTTGGTTGTTCAATGCATCAGTGTGTCTGCCTCTCTGTTTTCGGCGCCACCTCAAATCACCACTGCCCTTCTTCCTAATAAAGCCACCTTCTGAAGCTGGTTAGTCTCAACGAAAGTATACCGCCAGGGTCCTGTATTTTGAATAGAAGACGGCTTAATAATTAGTATGTACCTATAGAAGGCAGAGGAATAAAGCACGCCACCACACGCGAGACCCGCCCGTGTAAGGAAGGTCGTGATTTTCAACACGGGATACAATTCCTACTTCCTTTCTCTACATTCCCCAGCATTTCGACCAACTTCATACACAATGGCCATTGAAGAGATTACCAAGTACGTGTTTGGTTTTCCGTCCAGCCCCTCACTACTACCTCAACCAGGCAGTTTTCACGTGGCGTTTTAGCTAACCAGCTCGAACACTTCCCAGCCCGGATACCTTTCGCGCCGCCCTCAAGGAGCACAAGGTGGTCGTCGCCGACTTTCACGCTCTGTGGTGTGGTGACTGCAAGATGATTGACCCCTTTTTCAAAAAGTGCGTTTACGACCGACTCCCTTACCTGGAGACTTGACAAGGGCCATCGTCGCCTGCTGTGCCCCTCATTCGTGCCCTCGTTTTTACCCCGCCATCACCCAGCCCGTTGACGTTTTTCTTCTTCCCAGACACGCCGCCGACGAAAAGTTCAAGGACGTCTACTTTTGCAAGATTGACGTCGACGTCCTCCAGGACCTCAGCAAGGAGCTCAACGTCCGTCGCATGCCCACCTTCATCCTCTTCAAGGACGGCAACCGTCTCGGCGACGTGTTTGAGCCCAATCCGCCCCAGCTGGACGCTTTCTTGGCCAAGGCTCTGTAACGAAACGGCCTCACCCGAATAATTTTCCGCCCTCTATATATATATCAGCAATTCTTGTAGATACAATTAAAAGACCACTGGAAATCAATATTTGCTTTGCTCATCGTAATTCAATGCGCACATCACGCATGAACAATGACGTGCTGCCTGCTTCCCCCACCAACCAAGCAAATTGCTAGCGCTGGCTGGCCCGCCGGCTATCGACCACCCGACCCTGACGGCCTGCTTCTCCGACGTTTTCGTTTCAAGCACCCCGCTATCGGATCTCAAAATTGACTCGCACCCGAATCCATCATATCATTTTCACCTTCTGCATATCCCATTGTTTTAAACGAAATACTTCAATCATGGCCGCCGCGAACCAAGTTTTTATTGCCGTCATCGGTAAGCTCTATCAACAGCCTGCCCCCCTTCCCCCGCATCAGTTCTAATCCGCATCTCTCCCTACTTTAGGCGCTGGCGGCGTTGGCAAGTGCTTCTTGTCGCAGCTTCAGACGCTCGCGACCCGACGACCCTCGCCCAAGCTCACTCTCTGCTACATCTCGACCAGCAAAAAGGCACTGTTCCACGACGACTATGCCGAGATCGGCATCGACACCGCCCTCGACTCGCTCGCCGCCTCGACCAAGACGCCGCCCGAGCTGTCCCAGGTCATCGAGTACCTCGCCGCCGCGCCCGCCAAGACGGTCCTGGTCGACAACACCAGCTCCCAGGACGTCGCCGACAAGTACCCGCTCGCCCTGTCCCGCGGCGTGAGCATCGTCACCCCAAACAAGAAGGCCTTTTCCGGCTCCTACCAGCTGTGGAAGGACATCTTCATCGCCGCCACCGCCTCCGGCGCCAAGGTCTACCACGAGTCCTCCGTCGGCGCCGGCTTGCCCGTCATCTCCACCCTCAAGGACCTCGTCGACACCGGCGACAAGGTCACCAAGATTGAGGGCGTTTTCAGCGGTACCATGTCCTTCCTCTTCAACTCCTTCGCCCCCACCGACGGCCAGGGTGGCAAGTGGTCCGATGAGGTCAACAAGGCCAAGGCCCTCGGCTACACTGAGCCCGACCCCCGCGACGACCTCAACGGCCTCGACGTCGCCCGCAAGCTCACCATCCTCGCCCGTCTCGCCGGCCTCCCCGTCGAGTCGCCCACCGCCTTCCCCGTCCAGAGCCTCATCCCCAAGGAGCTCGAGGCGTGCGCCAGCGGCGATGAGTTCCTCGAGAAGCTCCCCGCCTTTGATGCCCAGATGGAGGAGACCAAGGCCGCCGCCGAAAAGGCCGGCAAGGTCGTCCGCTTCGTCGGCAGCATCGACGTGGCCGCCAACGCCGTCAAGGTCGGCCTGCAGGAGTTTGACCGCTCGCACCCCATCGCCGCCCTCAAGGGAAGCGACAACATCATCAGCTTCTACACGGAGCGTTACGGCAGCAACCCGCTCATCATCCAGGGTGCCGGTGCTGGCGGTGACGTGACTGCCATGGGTGTGACGGCTGATCTCATCAAGGTGGTTTCGCAGTTTTCATAAATTAAGGGCCGCTGTGGATTGTGAATTAAGAAAAAGAAAATAGAACCATGAGCAATGAGGATATCTGAATGAAGAGCATGAAATAACATCCGCTGGTAGACGTGATTCGATATCATCTTCGCCGCGTAGCTTGTGCCCCTGATGTATCGCTTGCACTGATGGACGTGACGGTCGGAGCTGTTGGCTTAGTTTGCGTGTCCTTTGGTTGGCCATGCCCATCGGGCGAGCGATGCCACGCCATTCTCCAGCACCAGAGAATGATGTCTATGGTCAGAAAGATGACCAGAGGGAGGATAGACACGGAACCAATGAGGAGCTGCAAGTCCGCATCAGCATGGGTATTGAGAGCTGTTTGGGGGAACCTAGAGGCGCACATACACAAGTCACAGTGACGAACCGAACAACAGTTGATGAATATACGAAGAGGGCCGCGCTGTAGAGCCAGCCGGAGTCTGAAGGAGAGGGCGACATGACTGCTAATTTTGGTGTTGTTTCTGAGTTCGTCCAGGACTAGAAGTTTGGCTTGTGATGCGGCCGCCAGCTCGGATGGCTCGGTGGCGCCACCAGGGCACCCCTGACTGACTCTGTGAGGCGCTGTAGCTGTGCTGTGGCTTGCCTGCGGCAGGTGAAGATGCAGGCCGAGGCAGGGAACTCCACGCAAACGCAAAAGCAAATATGATGCAGAAATCAATAATTTCAAGTGGAGGTATGGATGCATAAAAAGATGGCCGTACCAAAAACAACAACAAGGAAGAATCCGAAAATTGCTCAAAATAGCCCTACAAGACCTTAGAAGCGACTCACTGGTAGGCTACATTCTCAGGCCACTTATTAAAGCTCCGTACCACAAGGCGCGAGCTGGTCGCAACACTGGCGCAACCAGCGCTTCACCGCCTTCCCAATTAGGATGCATTCAACCATCAAGTTGCAAAACTTCTTTCTGATGTCCACTGACAAGAACATCATTACCGCCATATAAAACCCATCAACAGCGAGGAAAGAGGAAGAAGGAAACATGCCAGGGACAGCGCAAAAAAAGGACCACCGTGCGAAATTCCACGCCGCTCGGGACAAGCACAATGTCGCACAGCTCCCCCGCAAGCGCTTCTACCGCCAACGCGCGCACGCGAATCCATTCTCAGACCATGCTTTAGAATAGTACGTGCGCCATTGCCGCTGTTGCCGCACCGTCTCATTTCTGAAGCATGTATACTGACAAATACGTAGCCCTGTATCACCAGCGGACATGGACTGGGCAAAATACTACCCCGACTATGTAGCAGACACCGACGCCGACGGGGCCAGCTCGGGTCGTCCGAGGCCGCTGAAGCAGAATGTTGAGATTGTTGACATTGGCTGCGGCTATGGTGGTCTTCTCGTTGCCCTATCACCCATCCTACCAGATAAACTCATGCTCGGTATCAACACCCACCCTACTCAACCCCCCTCCCTTCACCTTCATGCTGACGCTTGACTTCCTCCCCACGCACAAGGCCTCGAGATTCGCTCACAAGTCACCGCGTTCGTCCAAGAGCGCATCTACGCCCTGCGCAAGCAGCACCAAGACAAGAGCGGCAGCGGCAACGGCGGCACCTACCAAAACGCCGCGTGCATCCGCGCCAACTCGATGAAGTTCCTGCCCAACTTCTTCCGCAAGGCGCAGCTCTCCAAGATCTTCATCTGCTTCCCCGACCCGCACTTCAAGGCGCGCAAGCACAAGGCGCGCATCGTCTCGGCCACGCTCAACTCCGAGTACGCGTTCGCGCTGCGGCCCGGCGGCCTCGTCTACACCATCACCGACGTCGAGGCGCTGCACGGCTGGATGGTGGAGCACTTTGAGGCGCACCCGGCGTTCGAGCGCGTCCCGGAGGAGGAGGCCGAGGCGGATCCGTGCGTGGCGGTCATGAGGGCGGAGACGGAGGAGGGGAAGAAGGTGGCGAGGAACAACGGACTCAAGCTCGTGGCCGTGTTCCGGCGCAGGGAGGATCCGCCCTGGTGAGAGAAGAAGGAAGGCGGGCGAGAGTTTGCATGCATCTAGGATACAGAACTGGCGTTGAAAATTGGGGAAGGGGTCATGAATATACAAGACAATTTTATGAAGCGAAAGCAAATGTACCATTTCGGACAACGAGGAGAGGTGAAGTGGGAAAGGTCCATCGCCGCCGTCTGCTACATCGTGCTCATCACCCTCTTGGCAGACGGGACCCTCACTGCAACGAAACGACCAACCGACGGCGCGAGCTTTTCGAACCCAAATCACCAGAATACTCGGCTTCTCTGTCTGGATTCCAGAAAGCTTGGAGCGCTGGTCGGAAACAGACGAGACGACCCGTGATGGAAAGGCCCTGCGCCAGGTGAAAGTGAGCTCAAGCGGGTGTAATTCTGTCGCCGCCTACCATCGACTCTAAGATCTCTATCCTCATCTGACTGGTACTACTGCTGCCGCGAGCCTCTCCTCGTGGTATTCCGTACACCAAGTACATCCTCGTGATGCCCGCGCCGAATCCTGAGTCAAGGACAAATCACCATCTACGTACGCCTTAGATGCAGTTTTATAGAAGAGCGCAGGAAGTAACATATTCTCAACATGTAGTTTATCCCAACGTACGCCTGTCATCTCTCTTCCCTCTCACAACTCGGGCTACTCGTACGCAGATATCCGGAGAGCCCGCCCGCCTGGCGTCCGTCAACATCGACGGTGGAGGGGCGTGCGTGTTTTGAGGCAGAGACGACCAGGCGCAGGCTCCTTCTCTTGATCCTTCCCCATCCCCAGAAACTGTGAACCGAGTGACCGTCCGTACTTTTGGAGGGGGCGTGGGTTTGGCGGCAGGGCCACCTCCCGCCCTGGTGACGAAGCCTTCTTTTGGTCACACAACTTGAGGGGGGAGGGCGGAGCAATCCATCACCGACCCGTCCTTGAAAGGAGATGGTGTCCTGCGCAGACGAGGCCGAGCAGCAAGCACGGCCCAGAGCCTGATCGCAGCATCGTGGCCGGGCGAGCCGCGTATGCTATAGTTTGAGTTTAATGGGATTTCCAACAGCCTAAAATCTGAGACAACTGGTATAGCATGGACCACCTTGTATCAGAGTCTAACACCACGCAAGAAGGCAAGAAAGCAACCGTCGCACTACCCTGCTGCAAAGCTTGGATCAAGATGTCATATCGCAGTCTTCAAGGTTGCCATCATGGTTCTGACTAGAGCACCGGGCTAGCCTGCACATGATGCGCCGGCGTCCGAACTCGAGGCACCGGCGCCTGCTCAGAATCTCGGCGATGCCTGTATAGCGGCCCGCATGGCGCGCGCTGTGTCATGTCTTCCGGACTTGCCGTTCAACCCAGCAAATGTTGTAGAATTGCCCTGTGTAACTGTCGTGTGTGAGTGTGAGGGTCCCCGGAGCCAAATCCCCGTCCGGCGATCCCACGTCAAGGAGCCCCAGCCCGTCAACGGACAAAGCTGGCAATACATCTGTCCCTCAGGCCGAACGTGCCGTCCTCGGCAAATCGCAGAGCCTGCCGCAAGCCCACGAGGCTGCTGCTGCCTTCCCCTCGACAGGATTCTGACATGCCGCGTTTTCGTGCCGTCCCAGACTCAGAGGAGACGGGACGGGTGTGAAAAGCGACTGACCGTTGAGCCTAGATTTTTCATCCCAAATTCCAAACAAGCTCAGGCCAGCGCCACAGGGTTGCATCTACGACCCTCCCAAAGAAGAAAAAGGGCCCCTCGTAGCGGCTGCATGTATCGCCTCGAAGCGATTTTCACCGGACCAAGTATAGCGCGATGCACCGCCGGCCAGCAGCCCGCATCCTTCTTCGTTCATCACCCGTCCTACCTACCTACAGTATGTACCTACAGTACCTACCTACCTTTTCGGCCCCCGAACCCCTTGTCGCCAAAAGCGCTTTCTTGATCTGGTCACCGCCCTTGTGCCTGGTGGCTTTCCATCTGCAAAATGTTCCGTCAAGGACTAGTGCGCATGGAGTTTAGAGCCAAGGAATCTGCCGTTAGCTGCATTGCCTCGCGTCTTCGGCCTTTTCGAGTTGAGGTTGTCGTTACGCCGTGAAGATGCAAGAAACTTGGGCGCGCTTTCCTTGTGTGGTTTTCTGCACCATTTTGTCCTTGCTCCCTGTAATAAGATCGCTGGGTCTGCGTAATGAGATGCCTTTATGTGGTGCGACAAACAGGATCGACACGCCCCTCCATATTCGTCGGCCAAGTAGTATGATGTGGAAAGGCTGGCCGATGAAGTAAACGAAAAAGAAGGACGGGATATATTTTGGCCAAGCTTCTCAAAATAGGAGATTTGCTAGTCAGAAAGACAAAGAGAGGCTAAGAACACAGTACCGAGCAGATGAACAGGGTACGTACATACTTGCCAACCCCCATCTTTGTGGTAGGGTATAGCGATACTTGGTTGTCTGCTTGTATTCGACATTCAACACTGTTTTTTTTTCGTTCTTTTTTATTCGCCGAAAGTTAAAGATGAAAAAATCTCGATCACGCCTTTGGTCCCGGATAGGAATGGCAAATATCCCGCCTCTGTCGTCACCATGCCTTGCATTGGTAGCGCACCACGTGCGACTGGGCGATGCCATCAAAGGCGACAACATCTATCTGGCCTTGCCACCTAGCTAAAGTAGACACGGCCCCCCCTTGGGGAAGAGAAATTGTGAAAGCAGATCTGTCGTATAGCTCGCCATAGTATTTCACAAAGTAAAAACGGAACATCTCGGCCGGGAGATGGCCCGTCGTCCGCTGTCTCCGCCCTGAGGTAGATATGCGCGGGTTTCAAGAAGCGAGCGGTTCGGTGTCTCTTTTGAGGGAGTTTGCGCGGCCGCATCGGGTTGATCGTATAACCCGCCTCTTTTGCTTACAGATAAACAGAACACACTCACTGCGTCCAAACTTGATATACGTAGACTCCTCAACGATGCTGCAATCACAACATCAGCAGCAAGAAAGATGGCATTCTGCATGAAGCCTACGGGAAGCTTATCCGTTCGCTGCCACACACACCATCATATTTGTGTATTAGTAGATTTGGTACGACGGGTTGCAGATGGCGAACTCGATTCTTCTTGGCAAAACGTAACCACCCCCTGTCCCAAACAAAATCGTCAAAAGATGGCATAAATACAATCGCGGCCAAGATGCCCTTGTTTGGGAAGTGATAAACATCCCGCCATTCTTTCCCTTCCCCAAATCGCCACCTGCTTCTCGCGCGCGGCACATCTGGCCATGAGTTTCTTTAAGTTTTTCAGGGCCCATTCGCGCGCTCGGCATTAACAAGACCAACGAGGGGACGCCACGCCGCCGCGGAACCTTGATTTCTCTCTTCAGGTTGGCCAAGGACAAAGCCCCTACGACGAGCCAGTGAAGAGCCTCAGCGATAGCCGGGGGTGAAGAAGAAAGGGGCGTGTGCAAACAGACCCCTTGCTGTTATCAAAAGTTTAAACTATACTGGTAGAGTTTTTTGTTGGATCATATTGCGGACATTCGTTTCTCTTGGATGCCATACTTTCCCCTTACTTAGGTCTTCTCCACTGGGCGAGAGACAATTTCAGCAAGTCGTGCCGGGGATCTGGGGGAGTTGCCAAGTTACAGGGAGAGACAATGGCACAGGGCCCCGGATTGTCTGTCACTGGGCTGTAACGGCTGGAGGAGGACTGACCCAAAACCACGTCATACAAGGATGCCTTTACCAAAGGACCATATCCGTTGCGAGGAGTTGCGAGCTCCTTTGTTGGTCCCCTGCCCGGAGCTACACCCTCCCGACGCAGGCAGGCATGTTTCTTGTATTGGCCTCGCCAAAATAATATGCTTCTTTTTACGCCATCGAATCCGTATCGGAATTCCCTCCCACTCATTTTGTAGCCAATTCTTGTTAGTCACAGTGGGCAAATCCGTCAAGGAAACCTGGTCTAGCTCGGGCTTGTGATTTCGGCCGTGGTCCAACTCGGCCGTGTGCGGGGGATAAAAATCTCGGTTGTCCGACAGTGCCATCCTTGATGTGCATTCTATCCTTGAAGAAAACCCTTTTAGCGTTTGTCCATCATCTTCTTTTCCTAGTTAGTAGTTGTGATTTGTGACGAGAAAAGGACAAACCCCCCCCATATAAATGGAGAAGAACATTCATTGGCATAAAACCGCCGCCGGGCCATCCATGCAACAGGGTGTCTCGCCCACATGATACAAGTGCAATCTCTCGGGCCCTGGCCCCTGCCCCGGCGTCGCATTGGCTCGGCATTCCGAAAATCATGTCCCATACAGATCCTTTCCAGATGTATGTGTGCCAGGATGTCTGTTCCGCCGTGGAGGTCCTCCTTGTCCAGCCAGCTTGGGGGATATCTAGCGAGAGACAAGGTAGAGAAAAGTGACGAGACCGTCTGCCTGGGCAGTAAAAAGAAACGGGACAATGAAAAGGGCTGAAGATGTCTTGACAAGGATGCTTTGGCGCGGGCCCTAGTGAGAACTGTAATTTGGGCCAAGCCTTTTTTTTCTTAAGGTGGGCTGGCCTTACTCCGAAACCCGACCACAGGCAGGCATACTTCGAAGTATAGCTCGCAACATCTTTCTTGTCCATAATGGTATTTGTTTCCTATAATTTCCCAAAGTGAACCCTGCAAGCGTACGAGCGCAAGCTCAACGACACCGAATTCCGAGAAAATTTACTCCGCTCTCTCCTCTGTGGGCGCGGAGATAGCTCCAGGCACCCCTATTACTAAAACACTGGAGTATCAAATAGTACGGGACTTGAGCTGCAAGCCACTTCTACAACAATTGTGTGAAAGCTTGAGTGTTGAGCTTCTCCGCTTTGCTCTCTCGAGGCACTACTTTCAATCAACTCCTGGCGGCACACACATACACCCTGGTGTATGTCGACTCCAGGACAGTGCATCCGTTGCTCCCCGTCCATTCACAGGCCACCAAAGCAGATCATGTGTGTAGAAAAAGGCGCTGGCGGGGAGGGTGCAATCGTCGTCCTGACCACTGGTATACAACGTAGCAGGCGACCGGCGCCATCTCTGTGTGGCTTTTGGCTACATGATGCACGAATGGTGTCTATCATGACAGCCACAGCGCGAAAGCCGAGCATCAAGTTTCCTTCGCTCTTCAGCCCCCAAGCAGCTGATCAAGCAGAAACGAATCGAAAGCCAGAATGCAGTATATTTGCGGCGAGTTGATCAATGATTCCTCTTTCATTCTCGGCAGTGGGAAGTATGCACACGCCCCCTCCTCCCCGTTCTTGTGGTGCGTCTTTCTTTGCAGTGCCGGTGCAGATGGCAAAATGTGACGGGGTCCATGCAAAGTTGGCAGCAACCCCCCAAGGTGATACAATGCGAGCGAGCTTGTTCGCTGCTATAGTTTATTATTAGCTTGCACCTTGCGTGCTACCTTTATTACACGTGGTGTGTGAAGCTGTTGCGTGCTCAAGATTCCGGCATAAGTAAGCGACTGGCTGCATGTAGACGCTTTATCAAGCGGTAGGATCGGACAGGATGCGGGCGAGGAATCTCGGCAAGAGGGTAAGAACTGAATCGGCCTGTGGTTACCCTTTTTTTTCTATGTATTATTCCACTTCAGCCTCAAGTGGCGAGCGAACGAGAGGGGGCGTGTACTTGTCACAGGCAGGTCGAAAAGGCTGCAGGACCAGCCAGCCAGCCTGGCCTAGGTCGGCCCACGGGGCGGGCGCCTTGCTTTTGTCTTCAACCTTGGCCCCCGAGATGTTGATAGATTCCCGGCATCAACCGGGCGGGCGTGACTTCCCCTCTTCCCACGAGATAGCGGGCAGCCGCGCTGCATGTAGAATGTTTGCGAACGCCTGCAGGCAGGATAGCAAACGCAGGTAAGGTCGAGGACTTTGGTCACTGACTGTCGACTTGTACGTGTCAGTGGCTGTGTTGTGGGACATTCTTGCGAGGGTATCTGCATCAGAAGAAGCGCGCGATACCACCCCAGGGGTTCGCTTCCTTTGCCTTCCCTCTCATCGCGGTTCCTTGCAGGGAGCCTGTTCAGGTCGAGAAGAAGGATGTTTGAGCGCCTGACCACGCCACTTGCGAGCCCTGGAGTTTGCTCCTCTGTACGACCTGACGATTCAGATTTGCCTTAGTTCGAGGCTGTCGAGGCACTGGAAGGATGGTTAGAAGGCCTCTTGGCTTGGGATGGAGTGGTATGCAGGAAGCGTTGCGCAAACGGGCGTGCTGAGCGAGCTGAGAAAGGCCAAGCTGGCTGAATGGTGGGTGCTGGTGGTGTGCATGTTTGCAGTGGAGCTGTACCTGTACTTGTGAATGATAACTAGAACAGTAATTACCTATCATTGTTACTGAAAGGCGCTCCGCGGGTTCATGGAGGGTGCATGGTGCAAAGGATGAGAGGATGAAGGGTGAAAGGATAAACGAACGAGTAGGCAGTAGCGCTCTGTGTGCATCTTGACGCTGCAAGTGCACAACGCGGTGGACAACACATACGAGAATAGAGTACCTATAATGTACATGGTGAAATCTGCAGGGACTTTTGATGCTGGCAGAGAGGACATGCATGTACTCTGTGTACATTATTATACAATTGAGTTTGCCACGAAAAATTTCAAGTCGCAATATCAACATTTACCAGCGATCCAAGGCTCGCCCGCCTTTTCTCTGCCGCCTGTGCCGAGCGATGAACATTCTCTCGTCTTCCCCGTATAGCCCGGTTTTATTGATATTCTGAAAGAAGAAAAGACAATCAAAAATCAAGGCTTTACAGATATGCACACGTATATCCGCTGTGGAACCTGACATGGCCTGGCCGACCCTCCACGTCGGCGACTGCTCGCTTTGGGGAAGCCGCCGTTCCAGGAAATTCTTGGTGGCCGTGACGGCCGGAGCCGCGGCATCGCCTTGAAATTTGTCTCTCCGGCATGGCTTGCTCCTGGTTTTACCTGTTCGATGCCGGCCCCCGCCGCGTTCATGGACACTGCAGCAGGATACGTCAATGTGTAGCAGCAAGCTGGGGTGGCTTATTCAGCTCATCGTGGCTAGGTTGCCGTATTCCCGTGTTCTGGCGTTTGCGAGAAGCGAACCGAGATACGAGACAAGAGCCCAAAAGAAAAAGAACGCAGCTACAATGTAAACTAGTTTGCCTTGCTTAGAAGACTGAACGACAAGAGTTACATTGTGCGTGTAAGAAGATGTCCAGGTGCAAATGTTTCTCTGCTTCTCGGCCGTCCAGGGCCTAATAAAGGCGATTACTTTTTTTTTTTTTTTTACCAATCGGATGTCCATGCCGGATTTCACCATTGATGCCGCGGATACAGACATTGAGCTATCAACCACACAGACCTCGAAGCACCCCCGCCTCTCCTCTTTACTCTCTCTCTCTCTCGTTGTTGGTTATTATTACCGGTTATCTTGCTCTAACATCACCATGCCCAGTTTTCTCACCGTCCGTCACCTGACAGCCTAAACGTTGCTTGCGGGTGTCGTACCGAGCTCACCCGCCTAGCTGACTGAGTAGCGTGTCTATGTACTGTATGTACCAACATATTACGTGTGTCTGTGTGTTTCTCGCCTTGTTTGGTCCAGGCGATGGACACAATAAGTTGATCTTGTTCGTTTTTTATAGGTTTTGCCATGACACACTTATAACCAAGCCAATGCAACGCTGTTGGGGAGTAGGAGATCGTCGCTCTTCGGCTGTCCGAGCAGACCGGCATCACAGCTGAGGCGGACATCACTCCGGCAGGCTGTTCTGTTGCTCATCTGTGCGAGTTGCTCAACAAGGGCATTTTTTATTTTTGTTTCCGTCTTTTACTTTTTTTTTTAAAAAAAAAAAAAAACAAAAACAAAGAAAAACCTCGCCAGCTGGCTACTTTCATTAACCAGTAATAAACACACTGTTCAGAACAAGCGGTCTTGAAGGATAGTAGGCATGCAACCGAAAGATAGAGGCAGGCGTGCAACCCACGATCCTGGGTCGCGGGCCTCCCCATCTTCCACGATAGGATAGTGAAAGCGACGGGCGCCACCGCGAAACCGGGGTCTCTTTCTGTGATGCCAGTAAAACCTACCTCCGAAACTTCTCGTCACAAATCTGCCCATTTGTCTCTCTCTCTCTTCTTTTCTTGCTTTTGGCCCTTCCAGCCTTCTGACTGAGGCGTTCCCGCCACACAGCCGTCTGTGTTGCACGACCTGTCAACAAATGTCGTGGCCTCGTGTCCTCTGCACACACCACCCACCCTCGTTCTAACACTCAACGCTCGGTACATGTACCTATGAGCCCCCTACCTTATTACTGGCCTTCTCCAGCATTGGCGCGCGGCGGCTTCTCTCCACTGAAAGCCCCAGCCACAGCAGCCAGTCGCCAGGCTTGATTTACTCTGCTCTTAGGAATAAATATCCGTAAACCTTTTACAAACAAGTCGTTCGAAACAAGATTCCGATTAATGTAAACGCATCCCCAAGCCATTCACAGCCTCACTTCAATGCCTCCTCGAGGTGAACCGCAGACCTGGCGTTCAGCCCGCCCGCCTGTTCCATGCATGGGTGGCGGTGATGGCGCCTCACCATTGGCCTTCAGAGACGAAAAAGACCTGCTATTTTTATTCCGTCCAGGGAAGAAGGCAAAAAAAAGGACCCCGTCTTCTCAGCCTAGGGGCGTTAACCCGCTGATCTCTTGTCTCTCCCGGAGTACCAGTAGCCCATTGCCAGCCCAGCCCTTGTCGATCAGGCATTCTCGGCACCGCCATCTCGGACTATGCTGTTCTTGGCAAAGGGAATCACCTGCCAGCCTTTTCATCATCTTGCACACGGCGATGAACATGCGAGGAACAAAAAAAGGGTGCGACCATTGTGCAATTGTTTGAGTCTGCTATTTTTTCTATCGGGTGCAAGAAACAATAAAAAAGCCGCTCCAAGATAAAAAAAATAAAATAAAAAGAAAGGTTTTTGGAAGAAGAGAATAGATCGACATTCGAGATCCATAAAGTACAAAAGAGTAGCTTCGCAGAGCAGAAAAACCATATAAATATATAATCCAAAGAGTATATCCTTATCGTCAAAACATACAAAAATAAAATAAAACTCGCCATGCCAGATATTCGTGTAAAAGTTGTTCGAAAAAAAATAGATATCAAACCGTCAAGTCATTCCCAGTGGACTTGCTTTCTACCAATAAACGCCAAGTGTATCCAATGTCTTTTAAACCCCAAAACCGTTTGCTTCGCGTGGAGGGTCCATGAAGGCTTTTTTTGCTGTCCGCCTCGTGAATTTCGAGTAAAATGAAGGGGAAAGTCGTGAGCGAGGCGAAGAAGAAGGAGGCGGAAGCAGGAAATATGGACAGGTGCCCTCATTGGGCCCCCCTTAGCAAGTAAATTATACAATCTCGTCGGTATGGCGAATGTAGTCATTTACTGGGAGAGAGGACCCATCATGCCGGGCGAGCCGGGCATGGAAAGCGGGGTGGTCGGGTACTCGAAGCCCGTCTCGGAGCAGGCTGTGGACTCAAAGGAGTGTGACAGAGGAGGTGTCTGAACTCCGAATCAGTACATTGCGTTCGTTATTGCTGGGGTTTGTAGCGAGCCCGCTGCTTCCTCAGGGAAAGACGGGCCGCTGTCTCTGCAAACTCACGTTGGGAGCGTTGGGAGAAGCGCCGTAGTGGCTCATGTCGAGCGCAGAGGGGCCAAACGAGTAGTTGAAGTAGCTGCCGAGGCCGTCGTCACCGGAGAAGCTCTCGCGCTTGAAGGGATCGGTGAAGTGGGTAGCTCCAGGCAGGGCGCCGGGAAGAGATGAGGTCATGTAGCTGGTCGAGTAGGGCTCGCCGGTGCTGATGGTCGGGTATGGCTGCGTAGCTCCGTAGGGCTGGAGGAGCAGGTCATCGGAGGGGTAGGGAGTATACGAGGAGAACATGGGTGGTGAGGGGCCACGCTCACGGTCGTCGAAAGAGCCGGCAAAGACAAAGTCGTCCGAGCCGTCGAGGGAGGGCGAGTACTGGTGAACAGGCTTGGTGGGGATTGAGATGACAGCGGTTGTGCTGGCCTTGGTGGCCTTCGGCGACTTGCTGGTAGAGGTGCGCTTGGTGACCTTGTTGGATGTGCTGGATGTGCTAGAGGGGCTGGTGACGGAGGTCTTGTCGGTCTCGCCGTCGTCGGAAGAGCCAGCGCGACGCTCGAGGTCTTCCAGGCGGCGCTTGAGCTTCTTGCCTGCGAGGGGTGTTAGTGGTAGTAGTTTTGCGGAGGCGCGCGCGTGTCACAAGGCCAAGCAAGTCGAGGAGCTGGTGAAGGCGAGCTGCTGCGGTGGCACGTACGGTAGTTGCGCTGAGCAATGCGGTTCTGGATTCTGCGGCGCTCGGCCAAGTCGGAAATCTTGGTCCAGTCCTCGTCGGGGAGAGCTGAGGAGCTAAAGGCGCTGCTGGTGCCGTGGGTAGAGTATTGTCTGGGAGCGGCCTGCTGAGGCACAGCGTACATGTACGCTTGTTGTTGAGGCATGGCGGCGTAGACAGACATGCTGTGAATGTGAAGAGTGTGGTGGGTTGTGTGAGGGAGAGAGCTGGAAAGCTGAGAGCTGAGAGTTGTAGTACTTTGGCGGAAGAAGAGTGGCCAAGAGTAAAACGAGTAAAGAGGTGGGAAAGACTGTTGTCTTTATAAGTTTCTTTCTTGGCAAAGGAGAAAAAGATCGCGAAATCGCTAGAGTATTGAGATTGGTAGAGATGGTAGGGCGAGATCCTTCAAGCCATGTGGGAGAGGCCGTACATTTAAATATCTCGTGGATGATGGAGAGAAGCATGGTAGTGGTAGTGGTGCCCCCAGGCTGGGATGGACATGAGGCACCTCCACCACACATGGCAAGTCGGTGCCAGGGCCACTCCCCCCCGGTAAGACATACTAAGATGTTTAGTAGAGGGACCCCTCGCCGGCGGAAGACGAAGAAGACGAGGCTGCATTGGACCAGGTGGAGGAGGGGGGCGACGAGAAGGAGAGGTGAAGGACGAGAAGGGGTGTGTTGAGAGAGGTGACAACTTGCCTGCCGAGGACGCTAAGCCGGGTGATGGACATGATCATGGTGTCTGTTGGGGGGGAGTGGGCGATGTTGAAGAACGAACAACAGAAAGGGAGGAGGGTGTAGATTGTGACAGAGGCGTGTCGTTTGGGATGGAAGAACCGGGCAAGGGGAAAGGAAGAAATGCAGTTGGTGGATTCTGGGAGAGCGAGAGCCAAAAATCGGGTCTGGGCAGAGAGGTGCCAGGGGGGTCGGGACGGCGAGGGATCGTTGTACCGTTCTCGCCCAACTTGTGTGCTCAGTGTACCTCCGCCTACCTATGGGAATCTGGCGAAGCGCTGCGTGGAGGGGGGGGGGGAGAGCAAGATGGTGGCCGGCAGAGGTACTGTCCGTACCTTGCCCACCAGGCTATCGGGGGGCGTGATGACACTCCTCCCAGAGCCGGGGCGAGTCCGCCTAAAAACACACCCATTTCCCGCTCGCCGTCGCTGGCATAGGTACATAGGTGCTAACTAGTACCTACAGCAGTAGTAACTAGCAGCAAGAAGAAGTTACAGGGGGGATGGAGGAACTTGCAACTGGTGCAACTGGTTCCTTGTGCGTTTACGACAAAGGGAAAGGCGCCGCTGCATCGGGGTCCACTTGGCGGTTACCTTTTTTATTTTTTGCCGACCAGCGGGTGGAATATTTGCACATTCTGGCTGAAGGTACTCGCCACAGGGGACCGGCAGGCATGCCCAAGATGCGCCAAAGTACTGCAGTACCTCTGTAGCCTCTGTAGCTGCAACTGCACTCACTGTACTCAGACACTGGCAGGTGTCCCACCGTCTAACCATCCCGTCCGCTCGTCGTCTGGCAAGACATGGCGCGCGCTCGTCCGGCGGGTTTCATCGGCGGATTTATTTATTTTTTCTACTTCAGATATTGTCTCACATTAAAATAGAAGGAGTTATTGAGAGAAGCGTTATGCGATTCGATAGAAGAAAGACAGAAAATAGTGAACAACGGTGCTGGCAACTCCCCAAACATACCACGCCCTGCCTGCTATCCCGTGTCCGTCTCCGTGTCTGTCTGTCGTATACTTTGTACTGCCCATTGATTCCACCTCGACGCAAATAGACCTCAACTCGGCCCTTTGCAATCTATTTCGTGGCTTTTTTTTTCTCCCTCTCTCCTCCTTTCCCTTCATCCATCGACATATAGCTCTGCTCATCTTCATATTGTATACCGAAAACAGCCCAGTGGCGCCGCCGACGTCGTCCCAAATATCGCTGCCTGGCCTGTCCTGTGGCCCACGGCGCCTCCGCCCCTCCGCGCGCGCCGCCGCCTCCGCCGCCTCGTCCCGGGTCTTGCATCCCGAACCAGCAAATACTTTCATCGTAGCTTGCCTTTCTTTTCTTTCGTTCTTTAAAAAAAAACCATACTACGAAACGCCCCTCTCAAATCGGTTTCTTCTTCCTTCCCTACAACTGTTCACTAGCTATCAAGCCATGTTCCTAGACGGCAAATTCCACCCCTTCATTTCTACTAGCTACTCCTGGACCCTATAACTCGGTCCGTTAAGTCCATCCCACAATATACGGGGGAGGAACAGGGCAGACCCGCCAACCCGGCACTCGCTGGCCGCAGAAACAAGCCCAGATTTGTGAATCCCGACTTGTCAAAGTTGATTTTTTTTCCCCCGTTCGTCCCTCAGTTTCCTCTCTCTTTGGTGCATCGGCTCTTGTCCGTGGTGTGTATGGAGGTCGAAGCTCAACCCCGTGCGTGGATCAAAGCTGGGGTCCAACTATAAATTACTATCCTCTAACAGGACCAAAGTTGCGCGACGATGGCAAGATGAAAAGAGTGGGATAACCATGATCCTGCCCCTTGTCGACGTATTCTTTTTTTTTTCTTGCCTTTGGGTTGAACGAACCCGGCCATCTTCAGCCAGGGCGGCGGCAGTGCAAGTTCAATTGGCAGGGCTGTTTCCAAATTGGGTGCCCGCCGCAATGGCCTGCTACGTGTCTGTGCAGCTGTTTAACTCTTCGCCTCTAACTATTTTTCAAACCATCATGATATTAAAAATCCATTCATCACGAATTGTTGCATATGCCCCCTCGTCAATGGCCGCCTTACGAAACGACGGGTTGTACAAACTGATGAGGCGAAACTGGGTCACCTGGCTCGATACCCATGTGCCAGTAGCAACTAATCTCTCCCAGCATACGTCTTCTCCACGCCGACTTCTCTTTTCGTCCGTCTTTTTTTTCTCTGCCACTATATACTGGACCAGTTCGGACTTAATCCGTAAAGTACGTTGCTGTAATGCCGAATTGACCGCCATGGTGCGGTATTATCTCGGACTCTGGCTCGCGACACAGGCCTTGCAAGTCAACTATGTATTAGAGGTAGGGGGGGTTGACGCATGCATGCACATCCGCCAGTTCCGCTTGCTTGCAAAGCATCAGCGCTTGTGGGATGAATAGGATATCAGCGTCAACGGAGGGCGGAAGAAATGGAATGTTCTTCTGCATGCACGGCGTGCAGCGAGGGTTTCACGACATGAGCTGGGAGGGTGCGTGTGCGAGTGTGTCTGTCTGTATCCATCCGTTGTCTGCCCATTATACCTGTCTCTTCCTCCCCCTCCCCTGTACGTCGCTGGCCCTTTCTCGGCCCCAGCGAACAAGCTCAACTTTACGCCTGACAGCCCAGACGCACCGCGAGCGGCGATGCAATCAATGCTAGCCGAGTGTCACGATTCTCCCCTGCGTTCTATGACAAGTCCTGGCTATATCACTACTGTTCCCTTGCAATGCAAGCTAGAAGGGAAAAAGCCGCCGTGCAACGCTGCGCCTTGAGCTTGCTGCGGTTTCCCACGGGCCTTTGAAACCGCGCGCTTTTCGTAGAGCTGAATTCGTCTCGTCTACCTGCCTGCAGATTCCATACCAGTAGGCGGACTCTGCATTGACAGCACACCACCAACCAAGCTTTGGCAAAGGTCCATGGCTGTGCTTTGTCAGGACGCTGCTATTTTGGTCGCCGCCTTACCAAGCGATAGCCGGGCTGTCTCCTCCGCCTTCCCACCAATGGCACTACCTGGGTCAACTAGTTAGACTTTCGTCCATTATTATCCTCCAGTGCGGATATAGTATCCATTATAGCTGTTCCACTTCACTCGTCGTCTGTCCGCGTCCCCGGCACCACCATGGTGGGCTCATGATGGACCAAAGGGCGTATTCCTTCTGGTGCCCCCACCACTTGGGGGCAGACAGGGCGTATTCGCCCATTAGCAGATGGACAAGGGCCCTTTTCTTTTCTTGCATTTTCATGCACACAGCCAAACAAATTGCTGCCAGATATGGACATGGCTAGAGAGCAAGCAAAATGTGGTGACAAAATCGAATGCTGTCGCGTTGCCCCCCCCCCCCCCCTGGTCCTTGCGCCGCTGCAGGTGCAGAGAAGCCCGTTCAACGGGCCAACCAGGAATTGTCGTTTACCGCAACAGGAAACTGTGGGAGGAAATCCCCAGTGTCTCTCCTTGCATCTCGGAGCTTCACCATGAGTAGCCATCGGCCGGCCGCCCTACCAGCCTGTAGCGCTTCCACTTGGCGCCTCTGGTTGTCGCATCTCGGACCCGATGCAGTGCGAGTGAGGCTACTACTAACAGCACGTATGTATGTACCCCTGTCGGGCAACAACATGCGGGCTTCGTATACACTATTCCAATCACATATTCGAATACTTTGCTTGCACGCCTCGAGTTGTCTGTGTTCAATCACCAACACGTAATCCACCCCCAAAACACACAGTCTGGTATCTCTGCACTCCGGTTTCTTCCATCCGGCCCTAACATGACACCACACACCTTCAATATGGGGTGTTTGCTGGCAAAGCCCGCCCTGCCAGCGCAGACCCGAGTTTGAGTTTCTCGGCCACCGATTTTCGTCCCCCGCGGATAACTAACACACGGACGCTCAATTGCTTAACAATTGCTCCTCAGTTTTATGGCGATGGCGTGTGTTAATATTCATATCTCGCCAATGGCATTGCCAGCCAGGCCAAAGGTCAGCTAGCTAGCCTTGTCATGTACAGTTATTAGCTTCCCCGTCGTTGGCCGCCGGGACCCAAGATGTCAATCTCCAAGATTACTGTAGTTCCTTGTTCGTTCGTTCATCCTTCCTTATCCCATCATGCGTGTATGCAACATCTCTTATCCTGCCTCCATAATCCCACGTTTCGGACTTTCGGATATCGGCATCATGGGATTTCCTCACTCTCGTTAAACTTCTTCCATGCCTTGGGTCGTTGCCGATTCTGCTCCGCACATCTTACTCAGCTGGCGCGCGCGCACTTGTCGAACCGACGACCTTGCATGCGAATAACAATAAATGTGCGTATGTGCGCATCCGTAGGCCTGCGCTCCACGTGCTTGCCAATATTGCTGCGGCCCAATGTTATTAGAAAGAAAGACGGGATAGTCGCGTTAGTTTGTCGATGCCCGCCCGCATGCATCCATGAATGCATT